CGCCAGTTTGTTTTTTTTTTTTTTTTTTTTTTTTTTTTTTTTTTTTTATACTCCAACTACCACGAAGGCCTAAGGCCTAAGCACCCATTGGGTACCGTGGGGCTATGGGGGATACATGGGAAAGGGGGGACGCCACACGGACTCTGGCGAGGGAACACGTGTGCATGCAACATGCACACATTCTGGCTCCGCCTACGAGAACCGCCGGGTGGTACCTCCACGTTCGACAGTCAGAGACCATCTATCACCTACGGACAATCACAACATCCATGGCCAAGAGAAACATTTCTCCTGGGACGGGACTCGAACCCGCACAGCGCACGGCGGCTGATCAGGAGACCGAAGAGTCTACTACTGCGGCCACCGCTGCTGCCTAAAACAAACACGCAACATCCATGGCGAAGGCGAGATTCGAACTCGCGGCCCGGCCGGCCGGCTGATCAGTAGCACGACACTCTGACCCACGCGGCCAACCGAGGTCCCGTATTCTTTAACAGTACTTTACAGGGCAGAAAATTATCATGCGTAGATTGTGTTGAAGATTGTACTCATTATCATTTAGTTTATTCTCAAAAACACTCGAGCAATACTAGCATCAAAACACGCAACAGACAACCTCGAAACGCTTTCAAAATTGATGTAGTCAATATAGATGATCACAATGGCGAACTATCTACGCCTTCTACTTCTACTGTGATGACCAGAGAAATTGACATAACAGAATCGGGAAATTCCGAACTTACATCAGTGATCAATTTGATAGCATTGGAGATTATGTTCTGGTTTTATGAAGACAAAAGGTTTTCTGGGCAAGTTACTTCTGTTTTTGATGAGGGTGTGATGGTGAGGTGTATGAAGCAGGGAATAAAATTTTGGAGATGGCCAGCTATAAATATATAAACAGTTATATAGCTAGAAATACGTAGTACAAAAAATATAGATGCCAAAATTGATTAAATGGTGTTAACAAGGAGCTAGACGATTCTAAAAGTAACATTGAGTCTGACCAAAATTTGATTCAAGACTTAGAGGCCAAAACGTAGTGAGATTAGCCAATAATAAGCATACACAGATATTTTAAGTTTACTTACTGAACCTTACTATTATGTTTATGTCTGTTTTTTTTTAATTTTAACACTTTGAGTTTATCTTTTTGATATTATTATGAGGACATAAGTAGCTCTCTAAAGTATAAAACAGATCTCAATACATCTATTAATAAAAGAACTTATGTCTTTTATTGAAATTCAGCATCATGATTTTTTTTTAAGAAATGCATAATGAAATTTCTAAATTTGTTGAGAAATACCCATATAGCTACTATAGCAAAAAAATGGCAACCGTTATATTACTGCATATAAGTTGTATGGACACGATGCAAGGGAGCTAGGCCAGCGGTCGGCAACCTGCGGCTCTTTTGATGTCAAGTTGCGGCTCCAGGTCCATGCGCAAATATTTATAATTATATTATTTTATTTTCAAAACTCATAAAAAGTATTATAGTGCGAAAAAAGTTTTAAATTTAAATTCAATTTATTTCAATTAAAGTTTTAAATAGGATAAAACGCTCACAAAAGCATGCACAAGTGGTCAGCTCTAAAAGAAATGCCGCGAGTTGAGGCACTCATATTTGATGCAAGGAATACTCTTCCAGAAATGCCTCAGTGAGGTGAAGAAGTTGGCATTTGGAGTAAAAACAACAAGTTATGAGATAGATATAATCAAACTTTCAAAAGGCATGCAAAGTCAATGCTCCCATTGTTGTTACACTTGTAAATATTATAGAATAATTATAGTTATATTATTTGATTATTAATTTTATTATTCTAACAGAGCTAGCTAAGACAGTTTAATATGTGTTGTGCGAATCATTGTTTTATGTGAATAAATATTTTTTCATATTTAAAGCTACCTATTTATTTTAAATCAAAAATCAAATTTTTATACCTAATCCTAATCAAATACCATAATATTGAAACAAAAATGTTAGTGGCTCTTTAAAAACTGGGAAATTTGGTAAATTGTAACTTTTGGCTCTTCCGTCTCAAAAGGTTGCCGACCCCTGAGCTAAGCGAATCTACGACAGCATTGCATTACAACTCATATACCCTAGTCTTATTAGTAAAACATGGCAATATAGTATTTAAGAAAGCCTTTTTGCCTAGGAAACTTTGACGAGTAGAGATGATCACTACGTACCAAAAACCAAATATGCTTGAAAATTGCAGATTTGTGTATAGCACAAAGACATAGCTCTGTGATTCCGTTTGAGATAGCACGTCATACTCGTAGTCCAGTCATAGCAGAAACTTGTTTGGCACATATACATATATTCCCTGCTTGTCTCAAAATCAAACATCCCAAGCTGATTTTTAACGTATAATCCGTTATACCTAACACACTTGTCGCATTCAATTTTATTTTTACGTAGCAGGAGTTCTCGACGAATTAGAGTGGTAGTGATCTTCACGGAACGGAAGATGCGGTGTCGATTTCAAGCCCTCCATACCAAACTGTTTCCCATTTGATTATTATGTATAACCTCTATGATGTATATAAAAATATTACGTAAAAAATGCTAATAAATGTTTTATTGGTAACAAATAAATTACAATTATAAATATCAATTATAAATATATAAAAGAAAAGATTCAACTATACTGGCTTTGGTTATAAAAATGAAAAAATAACAATTCAACCTACACATCAATAATACTTTCATGTTTTTTGCCATTATCTTGAGCATCGACTTTGAGTTTCTCTTGCATCTGCTTCAGCATCTCTTGCATGCGACGTATCTGAAACAACCAAATTTTGCAGGCAGATATTTCCAGACTCCCTATTTAAATATTGTCGATGGCATCATCGTCATTGTGAATATTTTTTTAGTTACATTCAGCTTTATGTCGTCACTTTAATGCACAAGTACCTTATATTTAAAAATGCAGTTTTATAGGAGTTTTTTTATTTGCATGTTGAACATAGAGATTGTAATCAAAAATGTCCTAATGGCGCCAAAAGTGGTATGTCATTCTCAAACTTTTGAAAACTTCGTTTACGCCCCTTCATGAGGCGATGATGTATAAACCACTCAATACAGCATACATTATATTTAGTGAGTGATGTTGTTCGGAAATGTGTGCAAAAGATGTGAAGTTCAATAATGAAGCTCTTAACTGAACCATTGATTTATCGACATAAGGTATCGATACATCTTTGTGATTATTTGCATCCCTATTCTTGATGTTCGACTCTATATCATGCCTTTCGATACTCCATCACCAAGGGTTTTTCCACTGCGAAGGGAATCTGCATGCTGTAGCATCTTTCTGGTATCAGGACATATAGTGGATTCACTGAATCAAAGCAGTTACGTCACACCGTCAAATAATGACAGTGACGCACATAGTTGTCACATTAATTAAAATTACTATACTATAACTATCTAAAACTGTAATGACTCATCGATGTTCACGTGAACATCACTTAACTACCAGTAGTCGGCTGTTCATAGGCGGGGTATGAATGTTTAACATGGGTGAACTAGATTTGTCACATGCTTAATAAAGAGTGGTTTGAAACATATTGTAAGTCAAAAATTTGGGAATTACCTTTATTCATCGTCGCTTCCACTTACATCTGACAGTAATAAACTGTCGCTATCGCTTTCCTCGTTGAAATTGACTATAACTGGCTCTATGATGGTGTCGATGTGGTGGTCAAGCTGCCACATTTTTGTTTCTTCCTTCACAACATGACGGATAGCATTCTGCCAAGCTTCGGGCGTTACTAGCTGTATGGAAGTCTCAAGTAAAACCTTAACGTCTGGTAATTTGAAGGTTCGCTACCAATATGAGTTACGATCAATCTTTGACCTTTCCCTGACGGTCCACGAAGACCTGTTGACAAACCTTCAATGCTTGCTTGTCGGTTACTCACTACGTTTTTGTCTATCCAGGTTTTTTTAACTGTGTGACCTGCATTTACCCATGTCTCGTCCAAATAATAGATTTTTCTGCTTTGTTGCCTATATTCAATCATTTCGCGTAGGTATTTTCGACGCCAGGCGACTATTTCAGGTCCCTCTATCAATACTGACTTCCGATTACGCGTTTCGTAACGAAAATTAATTTCGTGCAGGGATTTCCTCATTACCTCGACGCTCATTTGGGGTATAATTTCATTTTTTTTGATCGCTGCATGTACAGCCTTGAGGGTTGGTATCTCATTCCTAAAGAAGAATGAATGTACGGTTCGTCTTAACGCCATTTTGCTATCGTCATCCAATTTAACGGCCTTTCGTCCCTTCAAATTAAACTTTGGATCAATAGTAGCTCCAGTTTTCTTCTTTTCATGCACCACCCTGCGAATGGTCCACTCTGGAACGCCTGTCATATTTTCACAACGCGCGAGTGCATCTTCCTGCGACATAGTTCTGTTCAGATAATTGAACACGTTGAGCACGATTTCTTTCGCGTCCCTCTTCAGTGCTTTACGAAGCCGTCTACTTGTTCCCTGGCTTTCAGTACTTCCACTCGTGCCATTTGTACTCTCCATGGTTAAGTATAACAAAACCACAGAAACCACAACAATAACAATCACACAACAATTCTTATAAAAACGCCTATGTGTCTGCCGGTCGAGGCGCGTCTTTGATTTCATTGGTTCTACCGGCGGAGAACAATCAGCCATTATTTCCATCTCTGTCTGTGCTGTTGACCACCGCAAAGCCACAGAAACGACATATGTCGTACGCTATAAGGCTGTACTGGAAGGAAGCCGGGATCGAGCTCCGATCACGTGTTGATCACGCGTACGAGTCATTACAGTTTTAAATAGTTGTAGTATAGATCCTAGGACGTTTTACAAAATCTACTTTATGTCTTCGATGCCTTGCCGCAACCAACATTACGGAGTGTATGTTTTGTAAATGCTAGAGCTAGTATAAATTCTATTTACTACCTAATACCTCTCTTACGGACTGAAAAGGCAATAATGCAGCTCCATGATCTCGTTCGGTCTCAAAATATTTCGTCAAAGAAATGATGAATTCGTTTGCTTGCCAACCCAGAGGTTTCGGCATTTTAGCAAAATGCTTAAAAGGACACCTCGGAGTTTTGAAAAAAATAATATTGAGGCAAAAAGAGCGAAAATAAACCGCAAATAAACAAGAGCCGTTGGAGTAATTACCTGGCAAGCTTTGCGACAATGTCACAACACAGAAAACTGTTATCAACATAAATGTTCCCTGGAAATTCAAACTATATGTACCAATTCAGGATCTATTTTGCATTAAAGTTGGCATTCAAATTTACTAAATATGATGTAACTGCTTTGTTTCAGTGAATAAACTATAGATATTCCGACGTAAGATCTGGCGTGATGGCATGGGGTGTCAACGGAACACCCAGTATCGACGCTGGCTCTCTTGGCACCACTTCTGTTATGTATTTTAAGCGGGTTAATCACCACCGCAACTTTTATATTTACAGAAGAAATATTTTTCTCAAAAATATTTTGTGAAGAGATAATATTTTTACTCGGTTAGTTTTCTTTCTGATGGGATATTTCCATTCGCTGTCTGGAAAAACGTTTCACACTGTTCTGCATTTTCCTAACTCTTTGCTTAAAAGTAATCATTTACCTCTTCGTCTTTTTGAATTAGCAACCTGTCTGTTTCAGATATATCGGATTCGTACGGGGCTGAGTCCCTTTTTAGTTTCCTGTAAAAAAGAAGCAAATAAAAATCATCGATGCTTCATCCAAAATTAACTCTGTTATATCCTACATACCCTCGTTCCCTAGCATGCTGAGATATCTGTGAAATACATTGGGCTCTGAAGTTTTCGTAATGCACATCTTCTGTGACATCTTTCAAGTCTTGCATGTGAGTTGAGATCAACATTGTCCTGAGCTTTATGAAATCGCTGTGTTTGGGGTTTTCGACTACAAAAAGTAGATGCATTATAAACAGTATAGATATAACACAACCTCTAAATTTTTATCGGGGAAGAGAAGACTGAATGACTGGCGATCGGAGTCAAAAACTGGGTCATTAGAATCTCTTAAAAGGAATGAAAAGGAGAGATACATGAATAGGGTTTTTGGTCGCGGGTTCACGTATACCTGGGTATCCAAGAGCTTTCGGACCAGGGTAATACTCGACGATAAACCGGGGTAATACTCGACGATAAACCCGGGTACCCAGGTATCAATAAAGTATAGGCAATTTTATTTTTCAGGGTAATAAACTACTAGCGCCTTGGGGAAAAGTTCATCAGGATCTTTTTCGTTAAGAATGACCCATAGATTCCTAGAAAAGCAATTTCTGGAATATGTCTATAAAAATGTATCCAACAATTTTTTACACTTTTTTGTGCCTGGCAACATTCATTTGAATCAGAATTTTATTTGAGCAGATGCCCAACGATACTTTCTGGAGTATTCGAGCTCAAAATCTTGGATATAAGAGTATATGGCCACTTATGATTCTCGTGTTTCAATATTTGTTTACGTTATTATTCAGTTATCAATTTTTCACGATAAATGAGCTACCGGTGATTAACGACACGAAGTGTAGTATGTTGGTATTAATTATGGTAATACAGGTACAAGCAGCGTGATATTATTTATTTGTTTATTGCTTTTTATACAGGGTGTTTCAAATCTGACTCGCATCATTGGGATCTCGGAAACTGTAAAAGTTACGAAGTTAACTTAAATGAGGGCAAAGTTGCGTATTTAGATATCCAATAAAATGCGGCTTATAAAGTTCCGAAATTCAAAGTACTTCCGGAGAGAGACGGAAAAAAACGAATGTTCAAAAAATCGTTTCTAATTTTTTGCTAACTTTATTTGTAGTGGGATTTCAAAATAAATTGTACATTAACATTGCAACTTTTTCTCCTCTACAAGACGACATGATTAGAATTTCAATATGACGTTTCGTACCTTATCCTCCAGCATCAACTTTATTTTTTCTTAAGGACGCCATATTAGATTTTTGCATAGGTAAATAGAGTTTTAAATTCTGATTCCAAGAATGTACAACACGTCATACATTGACGTCGCCAAACCTTAGTTATTTCAGAATGCAGAATTTTCTAGGTAGGCCTTGAAAGTATCAGATAGTCATTTGTTTCGCATACCATATTTTTGGAACAAGTGACTTTTACTGAAGAGCTTGGTGGCGTTCTAAAAGCAAAGTTACACAGCATTCTAGGATAATAGTTTATCTGTCAATCCAAATTCCGTTACGTAATGCGTGAAAAGCAAGCATAATATGGTATGCTGGTATGCATACTGGTGCGTTTGTTTGCAAAAGGTTATCTAGAAAACAAAGACAATTCAAGTGATGATATCACGCTGCACGACACAACTGCTGCTTCATTCGCAACGCAAAGACAAAGAATCCTCTATCCGCAACATCGCCTGCAGGAATAACAAAACTGAAAACAAAGTTTGGGGTAATTAGTTTAGTGTTTTATAAACTTGAATTATAATTCATTGCAAATAACATCTTAAAGCTTGATTTTCATTTTGTGAATTCTTGTTTTAGATGTACTTACGACGTCAGGAAGAGCAGAACTGGCAATTTAGATATAATATATAAAGCCCTATTATTCATGAAGCCAACTTCGACAACGAAAAAGCTTTCTCTGTTGCAAGAAGTTTTGTAACAAACGCACGGAACTGGCTTTCGGGTCGTTCCTTTGAAGCACTGATATTTTTGCAATCTTTTTTCATTAACAGGATATCAAAGATGATAACATGTTACGCTTTTATATAAAACTTCAAGTGATTAACTTCATATAGTTAGGTAATACACGGTATAATTTAAAAAAACAGAGCTGAAACGTCAGATCAAAATTCTAATTATGCCACCGCAAAAATTATTGAAGCATTACACAGAAGTGGTAGTACGGAAAATGTTCTCTCCATTTAATTTTTGCTGAGCTAGAAAAAGGGGGTAGCTGACCCTCACCCCTTTGCCCTCCCCTGGTGTTGGAAGTTAATTTTTTATGTGTACATACATATTTGAATTGACCAAACTGATGTATAATATGAAGTTTCATTTACAATGAAAAATACCCGGATACGACCCAGGTAGACGGGTATTCAAAAAAATACCTGATACCGGATATAAAAAAGTCCGAGTACGCGAAAACCCTATGCATGAATCGACGCTCAGCTGCAACTCGTACAATTTGGTTAGAAAAATTTGGGCTACACTTTGATTCACAGGGTTAAAGTGCTGGAGTTTATTTTAATGAGATGGGATAAATGTATTCAAAAATAACTTGGATTGTCTAAGTTTTATTGAAAACATCAATTTTCACTCAAATGCAAAAAATGTAGTCCTGAAAAAGCTGCCTAGGTTGAGAGTCAGATCAATGTATTTAGAAAGGTACGAGATCGGTAAAAGATCGGTAAATTAAGTGATGAGACGGATTTTTTTAATTTTATTATTCAAATATAATTACATTTTTATATTGTCACCTTAAAAATAATTTCCTTCTGAAGCCACACAGCACTGGAGATGATTCTACCACTCCTCAGAGCAGTGATGTGACTCCGGTACTGGAATATAGCCTCCAGCTCCACTTAACGCTATACGTCCTTTATCTGAGAAATTGTGAGATATGTTTTTGTTTGTACTCTAAGCTAAAAAATAGCACTCCTTTGTATCTTGATATGAATACCTTCTGTAAAATATGATGGTAGAACAATTCGATGTCTGTAAGTCTTTGAGTTCTGTACATCCTTAGGTGAATAAAATCTTATTAGAGATTTTAAAAAGAAGTTTTTTTTAAACAAAAAACTTATTTGGCGCTGCGAACAGGATTGAAGCCTTTGGTCACGCTAGTGGAAAGTGAATTCTATGCCGGTGCCAAGTACGGTAAGAATTTTCACACATCACATCCAAAGGGAAGATTGTGCGCTGCAACTGTAAGGTGCTAATTGGGAGATTCAAGGCAAGATATAGCTGCAAGTCCACATCCGGAGGTAACTTTCAAGTTTTAATTTCAATCCACGAACCTGAGAAGAAAACATCAAAACTAGCCGAGAAAAAGCTCGAATAGTACCAGGCTAACTCAACATAGAGCCGTTCTGCAGTACTACGAGACGAGGTATCGAGTTCACCCCAGTAGGCTGAATCTACGAAAATTCGCAGAGCCATTAAGGTTACGAAGATTCCAGATGTTACAGCTCTTACTATTATTTGCGCAGTAACTTTTGAACAATTTCACGTTATGATAATTCAAAACCATTTGCCATTCTATTTTTGAAACAAATTTCAATCAGTTAATAAATTTTGCATTAATTATCTACCTATTAGACTCATATTATTTCTAGTTTTAAGTATATTTCTGTATTTTTATGACTGAAGACGCTTTAGACCATACCTTAGTGTCACTTCACCTTCAGTACAACAAAATTCTGTATCAGATTTCCACGAAGATTTAGAAGTTTCTGAACCAGTAAATATGGCCACTAATAATAATGCTGATCTTAGAATGACTTTCTATTTAATGAAAAATACTATTCCGATATTTTCTACAGGTCTACACAAGCATTTGCTTACATACAGACTCACATAAAAGATGATGCTGCAAACTTGCTATATATCCACAATCCTCAAAATTGGTCAGATCTTGAAAAAATTTTAACTCGTCACTACAAAGATACCAGGAGTGAAGAAAATTTATTAGCTGATTTACAAACCTGTTTTCAAAAACCCCAACAAACTATAGTAGAATTCCATCAGGAAATTCAAGAAAAGCTTAGTAACCTTAGAAATCACGCTTATATTGAACTTCCTCATGCTGCACCTCACTTAATTTCTATGTACAACCGCTAAGCACTTAATTCATTTCTTACTGGCCTTAAAAACCCTCATGCTGATTACCTCTCATTCCATAATCCGTTTAGTCAGACTCAAGGTCCAACTCCTTTGTCCACCTCTACTGTCAATAGACAGCCCCAAGCATCTCGTCCAATGCACCGCCCAAATTTCTTTACCAATAATGGTGAAAATCGAAACTTTATTTCTGAAGAACTTACTAATATGGATTTTGGAGGACCCGTGTACGAATACGATGAAGATTACATTTCTTCTGATAACCCTCACATGTTACCGTCACAAGAAATTCCCGATGAACAATTCGAACAAATTGAAAATGAAAATTATCAGGAGCCCCCGACAAACAACGATTTGACATAGATATTAATTTGTAACAAAATACCCTACATTTATAATCAAAATTTAGATTTATTGATTCTAATCGATACTGGAACATCCGCCTCATTAATGAATCAGGATTTAGCATTTCAGATTTTTCCAGAATACATATACCGTAAAAACTTTTCTATCAAAGCTTATAAGGATCGCAAAAATGGTATCCCCATTTTTTACGAATTAGATATTCAGTCAGAAATAGAATTTCTTTTAGTGAATTGGCATGACACCTTTCCATTAGGTTACTACGAACTTCAAAAACTAAACTGTACCTTTGATATTTCTAAAAATAAATTACAACTAGGTAATATTGATATACTTTGTCGTACCGGAAGAATCCCAACTCGTAAACCGAATAAAATTTTCGAGAAACCTACTTTCTTAGTACCCCCTATCAAGTACCTTGACTCTAATGAATTTTACCCAGCGTGTTTAAGTAAAGTCCAATATTTTGAAGTCTTATATCCCGAAGGTCTATCATTATTAGAAATTAACAATGTCCAAGCCATGTCTGTAGATGAATTCGATATTCAACCTATTCAGTTCCCCACTAATAAAGTAGTAATGAAAGATTTGATTCGTACTGAACATATGAATTTAGAGGAAAAATCTAAAATTATAGGACTTTGTCAAAATTATCCTCAAGCTTTCTTAAAGCCGAATGAAAGCTTAAGCCTTGTAATGTAACATCTCACAAAATTCGCACTCAACATGATGACCCTATTTTTGTAAAGTCCTACCGATACCCGTACCATCTCAAAAAAGAAATTCAGAATCAAGTAAATAATTTGCTCCAAGATGAAGTTATACGTCCAAGTATCAGCCCCTATAGCTCCCCAGTGTGGATTGTAAACAAGAAGCCTGATGCTTCCGGCAAAAAAAAGTACCGCATGGTCATAGATTTGCAAGCTAAATGAAATTAAGTTTTTTTTAAACAAAAAACTTATTTTTGAATATTTTCGACTGTCCCAAAATAGGTTTCCTTAAGGTGATATTCCAAATTCGGGAAGAGAAAAAAGTCTCAAGGACTCAAGTCAGGTGAATAAGAGGGCTCATTAGCCACAGGTCCACAGGAATGTTTTTACCTGCCAAAAACCCGTTAATCGAAATTGCTGGGTGACAACGAGCATTATGGTGCTGTAACACCCAGTGGTTCTTGATCTGGTGATCTGGTGAACGGTGTTGTGTGTCAAATTTAACTCGTCCACAATCATTCTGACCGTCTACCGACAATCTGAATGCACAACATCCCGGATTCTGTCAATATTTTCATCGGTTCTTGAAGATAAAGGTCTTCCGCTTCGCGGTTCATCTTCTGAAAATGCCTTAAACTACCGAAAACCTGAGCTCTGAACAAAACACTATCTCCGTAGGCCTGCTGAAGTTTAGCAAGAGTTTCCGTTTCACTGTACCCAAGTCTAAAGCAAAATCTGATAGCACACCGTTGCTCAATGATGTCGCTAATTTTTAGAACACAATAGAAGAAACTGTTAAAAAAAATCGCTACGGACAACTAAATGATTCGAGAGAGTTCAAATATTGAAGGCGGATCACATGTTCTCCTGTGTCCCCTCCAAGCCCGGCGCCTTCAGTGTTGCCAAATCAAACGCTACGTGTCGCCAGTCTCATCACTTAATTTACAGACCTCGCATATTACCTTTGAGCAGAACACCTTGATTTGCCGGAGGATGAGTTGTGATCATCCCATGCACCCCCTTTCCTTGAATTCAAGCGTACTATACCTACCATCTACAACTCCCCAAGGATACTGCCTTCCTCTAATTTTCTTTCCTGCAATTTCTAGAGTAACATTGCTGCCAACTACTGCAAATGGAATGCTAGCCTTCAGTTCTCTATCTTGTTGCTTGAATTCTTCATCTTCGTCACTATCACATTCAGGAAACTCATACATCTATTGGAGACAATAAAGAAATTCATTGAACCTATGTATGTGGATTTTAATGTAAAAATAGACGTAATCAAATGATAGTTTCACAGCAAAATCATTTTCGACCTTCATATTCATGAATAAAAGTACATGAAGCCACACCAGAAGCAATTATAGAAGGCTGCAGACCCATTTCTAAAAACTAGTCTGTTTTTCAGTGGAGGAGCAATAGGAGAAACTAAATGTATTTATAAAACTAGTAAGATAGCTTTCGTTCCTCTGACCACAGACGGTCAATCATAGGCAGTTATTTCGTGCTATTTGGCAGCTCCTCAGCATGATCTACGCTTGGTCTCAGGTAGAACAACGAAAGAAAGCTGAGCAACTATACTGTATCTAGGTCTACTAGTTTGTTCAATGTAGAGTAGACCGTATCTACTATACTCGAGTACCGAAAAGGAAAAGAGCAGCCGAAAACGTCGCATGCCACTGGTCAGCACGTAATCTTCTTCAACTCGGCAAGATACTCTCGCTCAGATCTTGTCAATTCAAAGGGATGACGCGCTTACAGTAGCGTGCGTTGTGTTTTGCTGCTCTCTTCCTTTTCGCTACTAGGGTATATAGCACCAACATTGGTCACAATGACGTGCAGGCTGACAATGCGAACTGGGATACAGTTCCAACAGATGGTCTTGCAATGGCTGATTATTGTAATAGATGGTTCTTTGTACTGTCTTATTTCGATAAATGAGTTGCCTAAACAGCTATTAGAAAAATAAAATTCCTCTACGGTTATCAAATGTAAAATCAAAAATGTACCTGAATTTCATGTTCTCTTATATCGCTCAAGATATTTTTCTTCAGTTTGGCAACTTCTGCAGTAGTTAAACAGTCCGCTTTGGCTATAACTACAACTATGTTTACTTTACGATGCAGTCTTTTCATGAGCTCGAGGTCCATTTGCCTCAAGCTGAAATTAATGTAATCAAATTAATTATTTAGATAAATAAATAATTATACCAATAAAGGTATGATAAGTAATTTTGCTCAACCGAGTCATTTACGCTGTTGAAAAGGTATCGTGCATTTTGATCGAATTTAGTATGAAAGAAATTCATTTAATGTGAAAACAAAGTTCGTTTTCAGGGTTATATTATTTTATCATAATTACCTATGGCCCCAAGGCGGAATGAAGTACAAACAACAGTGTACCCTATTGTCTTGTATGTTTCTTCGATTTAGTCCACTTTCGTCTGTGAAATATTGCCTAAATTGCTCGTCAATATAATTGATGCACACTTTCCAACTATCCTCACAATTGACTGCATCTCCAAATCCTGGTGTGTCAATCACTGTCAACCTGAAATAACAGGAACTAAAGTTTACTAAGAAATAAAAAAGATTAGATTCATCTTCCTTTATCCTCTACAGACCGTCACCACCAATATTTACTCTTAAAAAACATCCGAAAATGCTCAGGAGTCTCGGCAACGTATCCGTCAGAACGCTTTATGCTTTTTTATGTTTTCATAACTACCGAGTGATTTACAAAATTCACAGGATTCATTGTCCTCACCATAGTAGTAACCCTATGTCATCAAAAATTCAGAGTGCACAGTCTACACAGAGAGACCAACGGAATTGAGTAATATGATGGCCCATAGGTCACTCAGCTAAGCAACACTATATCATAAAATTCAACTTATCCATAATTTCGAAAAGTCTGCGGGTTTAGCATTTTTGCAGCATTTTACATTTTCCTTATTTTCGAAATTATCATGTTTTAAAGAACTTCTAAAACATCCCTTACCTCAGTTTGACACCTCTTTCTTCAATTTCCATCGTTTTCTTTTCAATGGTTGTTGTTTTGTGGATACGCTCGCTGACATCCGGAATTTTCCTGTTTTTGTATAGGTCCTCAAGGAATAGGCTGTTTATCAAGGTTGATTTTCCCAACCCCGATTCTCCTACCACCATAAGCGTGAAATCAAAGCCTCTTTTCACTGACTTACGATGAACTTGGTCGGGCAAGGTAGCAAAACCTATGTAGTCTCTATCCCGATCTGGAATTGTAAAAAGTTTATCAACACCTAAAAATATGGCAGATTAACGACTAACTTTAGAGAAAAGTTACTGACGATCTTTCTTGTTCAGAATAATCCAAGAAACCTGAAAAAATTGCCGGAGCGAAAGAAAACTTTTTTGTAATAATTAGCAATGCCCCTCGTATCAGATTCTTACGCACACGGTGTATAAACATATTTGAAGGCAAACAGCACTACAACAATCAGAATTTTCAACTTATGTATTCAACGACTAAATGTTGTACATGACAAGCATATCGATCGCTAGTTTTAAAAGGAAATTATATAGTGACCATTGGTATTTTTATATACTTTCACAGAATATTTATTCCCCTTTTCTTTTCGTAAGCAATTCACCGGTGAACTACTAAACTACATGTATTAAGAAACAAATACAAAATTGACACTATATAGTCCTATGAAGTTTGATTTAAGACAGTACTGTTTCTAGGGTAGGTAGTACATTAAAAATAAGATGGAAAGTTTCTTTAAACATGTCATACAGTGTCATGTCGTCATTACAATGGGGTGAGGTGAAGGATCTCCACTACTTTAGGGAACATTTGAAGTTCTAAGGGTCCTCACAATTTCAGGGCCTTTCTTCTGCATGCTTTGAAAGAAGTTTACAACAACTGGATAGGGAAAATATTTGTAGATCAAGCCCGTGTTTTTCTCTGCAATCTTTGTGCTTTTCTATCAATAGTAGTCAAGTTCACGACCCTCAATACATTTCCTAGTTTCCACACAGACTTCACGTATTTGGTAGAATGTTGTAGTAGGAGAACTGGCTGCTTCATATTTCAGTATTTCCAAAGAAAATATTTGAAATTTCTATAACAAAATGTTACATTTGTGTGTTATGTAAATCCCTGTCGTATCTACAACCCCAAAAATTCTGAGTCCATATCACATGCTCTATAAATGCTTTTGAAACATAAATTTTAAAGGAGGTTTATTATTGCGAACACAATTCGCAAAATAGTTTTGAGAGTGAATTCTTATTAGGTGACGCATAGAGAGAATCAAATGGGTCAAAATTGAAGGCACACAACACATAGCTAGATTAGACTGTTAGAAACTATTCCGATGATAAGACACAGTAATAGAAAAAATGAATAGAAGTACAGCCTTATTTATAGGTATTCAACACTGAGATTCTTTAAAATCCATAGCAAACAAGGAACGGATTATGCTACAATCATGCAATACTGGACTGGCACATTTTGTAATCTTCCTAATATGCCGATAACATATACACGAACGATGTTTACAGTAGTATAGTGTTAGCAAATGAGGAAATAACTGCAGTTGTTTATTCAAGATATTTACCATAAAGTTTAATGAGAGAAAATGTAAATATTACGTGTGCCTATAGTAGAAATTATGAACTGAAGTCGGTTGTTTAATAGCTCTTGCCAGACTTCTATCCGAATTACTTATTCAGTTTATAATGAATGTCTTGGAAGCGTTGCTATTCGATTTTTTATTTTTTTTTTTGGTAAAATCAAGATCTAAGGGATTATTTCACAACCTCTAGTGCAAGAAGAAACAAGATATTGTGAAATCCCAATGAAATTTTAACTGATCTTGTTTACCAAAGCTGTATCTGTCACGAACCAAACATGTCTGGCCAAAATACATAGTAGCCTATGCCAATTAAGTTTATTACGTTTGAATTGTAACTATTATCTCATTGTCATCTTAAATAGTTTCATCCGCAGATTTGTGCAGTGCAAGCGATGAGTCAGATTTGTTGCTTAAATTAATAAAAACATCAAAATCATGCTTGTATCTTAAGATTCATGGAGTAAGTAGAAAATTCAAAGATAGTTGCTTGCTGTATGTATCTATTCAAAGATGATGTCAGCAAGTCATACTCAACTAATCAAAATGCAGCAACTATTATGCAGGCCTTAGATATCAAATTTTGATTATGAACCAGTATAGCTGGCTTACTACCCAAAAATTGGCACTGTTTTAGAAAAAACAGTATTTGCGAATTTAACAAGGAATGTGAAGTCTTAAACAGACAAAAAATGTTAGGAAGCTCATTGAACATAAAAAATGTTCTGCAGAAGAGTTGAAAGGGATAAAAAGACCTTCAAAATGAAACCTTATTAGTTCAATTTAAAAAGACGATTTTTCTCAAATGGAATATATTGAAGAAGTGACTTCATGTTAGTTATTTGCAATTACAGACTGTATAAAATCTCGTTTTGATTTTGAAAACCTTTATTTCCCGTGCGATTTTTCTAAAGACCACTTATATCATCAGTAGCTTGTAACATTTTGATACCCTAAGTGAGAGGCATTTTAATTAACCGTGAAGAATGTAATTCCATTCTGAAATTCGACTATACATTTATTTCTTGAAATTAAAGAGTACTAGGCAAAACAGGCGTTTATCTAGATGTATTTCAGTTCAAAATATGTTTAAAAAAATGCTAGCGTATGTATCACTCGCGGATTGTGTATAAGAAGAAACCGCTTGATTATACAGAATTTAAAACCAATTCAGCCTCGTATAAGTAAATAAGCATAACATACATATACAATCATCTTATCGCGTAACGTAAACTCTAAAAACGGTTATTTAAATCCGCTGAAACATCAGGTTCCCCAGACGCTAAGCACAAAAATGCGCGTGTACATAAAAATATTTTCAGATGATTAAATACCGGAAATCTATTCGAACGATATCGCTTCCTTTCAAAAATTGTATACTCCATATTATATGAAGATGTGAAGAGTATGTATATCTACGAGAGTAAAGTGTATTTCACACACCACAGAAATCCATATCATTAATTTCCATCATCGGTCTTTCATCCTGTTGACGCCTCTCTAACAGCGTGATCTTAGTAACAGCAATATTTTATTTTAAGAGGAAATCCACGATAAAATATGATATGGCTTGTAGTAACTATATAAAAAGTGTGGTATTATTCCGAACCCCATTTTTGTCTATATTTGGAGATTTTGAAATTTTTGGGCAGAATGAAAAATCCTTCTGGGAGTAAGATTATGACTACAATTGATACACCAAAAATTACTCGAGTAATCAAGCTAACAGTTCCTAGGCATTTTACTCTCCAGATAATTGACTATTTGTTTCTACTCTCTTGACTTCCCTTCCTCAGTTATCTTTCTATTTCCTTTAAACTGGACTGGTTTTTGAATACCCAGACTTTTAACAAAGGTCAAGGTCCAACGAACTGCTCTGGCAACCAATAAAGAATAGCATTTCCAAAAAGTTATTTGATTTGTATGTTTAAGAGGTTTATGATCATTCAAAATTGTTATAAAAAACTTTCGAGAGACCCAAAAAATTTATACATTTTCCATATTACTAAGAATCCTAATATGTAAGGGATGATTAGGATGATGTTTGGTTCAAAATGTTTGACGAAATTGTTAATAAATATCAATTTTTATTTTGACTTTTATTTGAGATGTTTTCAGGTGAGATGTTATTTGTTAATCACTTAAACTACGAATCATATATAAAACTGCCAGGGTATTTCCTTATTCAATGTCAATATTTATAAGGGCAACTGTTTGGTCCCCTTTTAGAAAAAAATTACCTGTGCCGTAATCGTCTTAACTTTTGATATAAATTTTCCAAAAATAAACCATTTATTTTTGAGATCTGTAATACCACCTTAGATGTTTTAATGAAAGGCATACATGCCCCATGTATCAAAGGTTAATTTTTAATGTGCTAATTTTTTTAATTTCCACCAGTGGCGTTCGTTCGGAATTTCACCAGCTAATTTTGGTAGATATGCATGGTACAGTACTGATTTCTCATAAACAGAAATTATTCTTGAAATCTCCAGTCATTTCTAAGCAAACAAGATTGCTTGATTTTTTCAATCCGATGCACAGTTTTCCAATAAAAACATAAAAACCGTTTCTCTGCGTGATCATAACAATATCGTTAATACGAGAATACGGCCGATTTTTATTTCTCTAAGCGAAAACTGTGTTTCGGATTGACAAAAATCAAGGGATCAAATTTGCTTAGAAATGATAATAATTTTATTTTAAGAGAAATTTGCGGCATCTGCCAAATTGGATAGATGAAATTCCGTACGAACGCTGCTGCGCTGGTGGAAATTAAAAAAATGTGTATCTAAAAATGTATTTTGATATTCTTACAAGTGATATTGCAGATATTAATAACAATTGATCTATTTTTTAAAACTTTACCAACCTACATCTCAAAACTTAAGACGTTCATATTAGTTTTCTTCTTAAAATGTTTCCAAAAATCGTACCCGTACATATTGTATTTAATTGGCAAAGACCCTATATATGTATATCAACAAGACGCTGACGAGATGCAAGAAATACCCAACTTTCTTCCAGCTTTGAGGTATATTGTAGAGCTCTTGTAGACAATACTATATAAGTATGCATTTGAAAATTAATTTTGTATGAGCTTGGGGCACCCAATTCAATGGGATAAATCTTAAAATGATTATTATAAATATTTAATTAAGAGTAGTGAAAGCATCAGAAACTTCACAATAAAACAATCATTATCCGTTCCTCAAAGATGCAACATATCTACGATAAAAATAAAGGATAGCCGAAGCTGAACAAAGCAAAATGCAGCAATAACAAAAGCTGGGTCCTACCTGACATAACAGTAGATGTACTTCCTGGTAATACTCGTAACAACGGACAATCGCGACTCGCAGCGCACACTACGATAGCGTAATCCGCGAGGACGTTCGTTCGGCTCTCAGCACAGTCTTTTGTTTATTTTTATTCGAGCATCTTGTTGGCGCAGAGCAGTGCGTGTATACCTGAGAGAGTTAGGATTGACAGAATGCTATAAGGGTGTGTAAGCGCAACTACCACTCCTTGCGCGCCGTCGATCAATAACGGCGGCTCTTTTTTCAATTGTCGGCCACCCCATGTCGTAACATTCGGCACACGCGCCGGCGTGGTAGTGGGGAGAAGCATCAGTCGGGATAATGGTCCTTCGAGATAACGGCGGAAATCCTTAAAAATATCGATGTGATACGAGGTTCGATGTTCGTAACGTATCAAAACAAATAAGGGATGTTTGTAATGTCCACGGTGTCCCTAAAAAGCTGAAATTTTAACAATAACAATTTTACTACATTCAATAATATTGAAATAAATTTGGAGGGGTTCGTATGGTGAATTTGAAACTAACCCCTCAAAAAAGTTCTGGGGGAGCATGATTCATGTTCAAGAAAGGTCTCGGGGAGGGAGTATCGGCGATTCAAAATGCTGTATCAAAGCTTCTTAGAGTGAATGCCGTTATGAGCGGGGGGGGGGGGGGGCTCAGCAATTCAACATTGCAGAACAGGGGGGTATCGGAGATCCAAAATTCTAAAATTAATTGAAGCGATGGGCAGGTCGCCTGCGTATAGACAAACGTGTTCGAATTTTTTTTGACCTATAGTGTTTAGGGAGGGTTCGCACCCCAGGACACCCCCTGAATCCGCCACTGATCTGTTAAAAAATTGAAAACTATCTTATTCGACTTGGTCCTTTGTGGGCTATAACTTTTCTATCCAAATTAATAGCATTTTTTTAATGTGACATTGTTTTGTGAATCCGTTACTCCCTTTTGAGATGGATCTTGAAAATAAAATCAAAATTAACTAAAATCCCATTCATCTAATATTAATGACAGAAATTATTACTTTCAGTAACAAAAATGTCATACTACACTGCATTCACATTCTTATATTATTTTTCGTAGTGGAGGGAAGCACGAAGCACGTCGTACGAAAAAACTGACGACCAAGTTTTCGTCAGATTTCTAAAGAATATATTCCGGACGACTTATCTGCCGCTTCATCATCTTCATCCTCCATCCTCTATTTCTTGGAATTTTTTTTATAAAATATATTCATAAGCATATTTACGCATTTTATAATCTCAAAGTAGCAGGTGAACCAGTAAGGAAACAACGATCTCAAAGTATTTATATTTTTATTTTAAAATAATAAACACAATGTATAAATTAAACAAGATAACATCTGCAGCATTTCAGCTGTTACCTATAATGTGAGAAAACAGTATCTGGAATCCAATAACGTGGAGATGAAGGATTCTTTCTAGCTATGAATTTCTAGCAGTTCGGCACGGATACTATTCGTCATTTGTTTGTCTGGACGGTCCGTAGGACCTTTGCCCTTTAGTCACTGTCTAATGTACGTTAGTTGAATCTGTCAGTCCTGGTTGCCCAGAAACCAGACAATGTCAAGGAAAAAGAGAAAGGGAAAGAGAAGAAAAAAGGAGAAGAGCAAAGAAAAACAGAAGTGTTTAGTTTAAGAGGAAACTTCTAGGCTTTTTGACTTATTCCACGGATTAATTTTGAGGTGAACTGAACAAAGTTTGGTTCGGTTTTGTTAGAGTGTAATTTTAAGTTTACTAAAAGTTCGCGCTAATTTTTGATTACAATGCAAGCCGTGGGGTTGAATGCTTATGATCTTGCTCCACTGTGTGGTCCACTGAGTCACGCAACAGAGGGTTGCTGTGCGATTCCGCTTGACTATAACGTCGCTGCGTCTGAAGTTTGACATAATCCCTCAAGTAAGGAATGTCAAGGTCTCTGTGTAGTGTCTCGTTTGAGACATACCATGGAGCGTTGCAAATTGTTCGCAAAGTTCTGCTTTGCAGCACTTAAGGACTTTGCATATGTCTTGGCAAGAAAACACCAAGCCGCACATGCATAAGTAATGGCTGGTCTAATAATCATTTTATATAGGAGAACTTTGTTTATCAAACTCAATTTTGAGGATCTACATAACAAAGGATATAGTTGCCGACACGCAATTTGGAATTTTGTTTTCAATGCTGCTGTATGTTTCTGCCAGGGCATGCCTTTACCAAGGGTGACACCGAGGTACTTGGCAGAATTTGTCCAAGGTACACGACTGCCGTCTACAGAAACCTCTGCTGGGGGGGGGGGACGTTTTTTGCTACAATAAATAGCCTGCGTTTTCGAATGAGTATCCGGCACGGATATTACGTGACATTAGATCGTTTTTTTTTTACATAACGTAGGTTTTTCTACAAGATGTTAACTTAGCACTAGCTGAGAGACATTTGTTGTGAACTCGTTTTGTAGTTGTACGTGTTGCCCAAACGTCATGATGCTTCAGTTATCAATGTTTGGTCTGTGATGTGATGTAAAGATGCGATTCCACCAGTGTGCTGAACTGTGCGGCACTCTAATGCACAGTGTACAGCACAAATGTTTCTTCTGGTCGACTCTCTCACGCAAACAATAGCAAATTGTGCGCGAACATTTCGAAAACGTTCGCGCACACATCAGTTACTTTTGTGCGCGCACATACAAGCAGTGGACTCGCGTCGGCGCGTACATACTTGTTGTTCGCGAACAAGTGTTGCTTCCACTCCTGGAGTGAAAACATTTGTTTGTAGGCGCACTTTTTTTACGAAATTAAAAATGGACTGGACGAATGATCAAATGATAAGATTTATTCAAGCAGTTGAAACGTATCCTCTTCTATGGGATTCCAGTCACAATGATTATAAGAATAGAAACAAAAAACACGACGCCACTCAAGAGTTGACTCAAAGTTTCAATTGTGACTTGACTGAGGTAATGAGAAAATGGAAGATTATTTTGGCTCAATACCGAAGAGAAAAGAAGAAAATATCGGATTCAAAATCTTCAGGTTCTGGGTTTTCAGATGTATATAAGCCAAAATGGTTTGCTTATGCATATTTGAATTTCTTTCATGCAAGGGATGAACCGAACACCAGCACGAACTCACAAGATGAAATAAATGAACAGGTACATTCAATTTTTTTATTATTTTATAACTCGATTATACTTAGGTATGCTTTTTACGCTAGTGTTTCTTGCCATGGCACCATTCCGATGTCAGTTTGAAAATAATTTGCTAGTTCTTCCCTTATATCTTTCGCATCGCCAGTTGGTATTCTTCCGATATTTCTTAATGGTAGTAAGTTTGCCATGGGTGCATCGCGCCGCCAACTTCCATCGATAGCGCTATGGGTAATTCGGTTTTCAGTGTCGAAAATGCCAGGAGAAGTGTAAAGCTGTAAAGACGACTTTTGTGTCATCAAAAAATTATGCAAATAACAACATGTCAGTGTTATTAATTGTGCCTTTTCTGGAGCTAAAAGCATGGGTTTCCTAAGTACGCGAAATACAGCGGACAAAATCCCAAATACATTTTCCACAATACGTCTCGCTCTGCTCAACCGATAATTGAATATTCTTTCTTTCGATCTTTTGTCATGTTGACCGGGATATGGTTTCATTAAATTCATATCTAATGCAAAGGCATCGTCTGCAACAATGACATAATGGAATTGTTGTCTTCCTCCCGGGTAGCGCAGTAGGTTGAGGTAAATTTAATTGTCCTTGCTCAAGATTAACATAGAAACCCGTATTTTTGAAAACACCACCATCCGATATTCTTCCTTTACAACCGACATCTATGTACGTGAATTTATAATTTGCATCAACCAATGCCAAAAGTACAATGCTGAAATCGCCTTTGTAATTAAAAAAGTCACTTCCAGTATTATTTGGAGCTTGTATAACAATATGTTTGCCATCCATAGCACCAATGCAGTGAGGGAAATTCCAATGTTTTTCAAATTGACGTTCTATCAGCATCCATTCTTCTGCAGTTTTAGGCATCTGAAAAAGAAAATATCATTTCAGCTAATAATACATAATACAGTAAATGAAAGTCAAGAGTCATCTCATGAAAGGCCAGTAGAAAAGTTTAAGGCTCCAAAGAACTCGTTGAAACGTCGTGCTGTCGATGAAGACCCGAGAATTTCCCATGCTTTGTCCATTATGGACAACGTAAATAAGCAGATGGAAGCAAGAAAACGTGACGATGATTTTTGCTGCAGGCGTCGCAACGAAATTAAGAAAAATTAAAGATGAGCGAAAGAAGATTTTAGTGCAAATTTGTTGTATGACGCGATTATTGGTACTGGAAAATATGCTACGACTCGAATTCCTTCACCTTATTCAACTCACAAGGTCAGGTACCGCTTTCACGTTTTCAAGCCCGCAATGGTGATTTTGACGACGACCTTTTACGCCAGCATAACAGCGAAATATTAACTTGGCAAGATATGTAGCAATAAATGTTAATAAATATGGTTTAGCTTTCTTACCTTAATGTTTTCTTTCAGCACGCTTATCAACCCCTTACAAGTCTCAGGTACAATCCGAGCAATAAGTTCTTTTGAAACTTTAAATAAATACATTAAACTTGCAAAATAATCTCCAGTAGCAAGATATCTCAGGGTAATTGCTAGCCTTATTGAAACAGGGACACATTTTCTGTAGTTGGTGTCTTGCTTTGCAATATGAGGACTAAATGCATTGACCAGCAACTCAAAATCTTCACACGATATACGAGTAAAATTTTTAAATCCACTTAAGGGATCTACTTTTATTTCTTCTCCAAATCTATTCGTTTCTTCATTCCGTCGCTGTAGAAAAGGCCTCACCCAACATCGTGGTTTTCTTCTTCGTTTCTTTTTAAGCAGACTACATATTAAAACACAAGCTGCAGCACAAATCACTACGTTTTCCTGCCCGTCCATATTGAGAACTGAGGTTAGTGAGAACTTTGCTTGGTAAACATGTTCGTACACAAGTGTGGTACACTGTACGCTTACAAAAGTTACGCACTGCTTTGCCGGTGGACACAGAAGATAAATTCGATACCAGTGAGCACGTTCAATGCTGGAGTTTCACACAAAATGTTTGTAAACAAATGTGCTGAACACTGTTTTGGTGGAATCGTACCATAACATATGCTTCAGAGATGTCATTATTGGAGGTCTAAGTTGTAAGTTGTATACTATAGCTGAAAGGAAACGGCAGTGCATAGGTGCATAGTGAGAATTTGTGTGCTAATGATACGTGTTGATGATATAGTTGTAGTCACCGTTCTTGGCGGGTCGAAGTAAGACTACCAGTATCCGTTTATATATCTCCATCTCCCTCATACATACACAGGCAACCTACACCTGTGAGTGAACGTTTGTTCGGTAAGCTCAAAGACATACGTGTTTTAGTTGTGTGTCTCCATCTCGAAAACTTTGTCGTTACGTATTAGTGCTCTTCATTCATACTTGTCAGAGTGCAATTTGAGTTGTCCTGTTATCAATCTTCAATGTAAAATGGTACAATGTCCGGAAATACGATCAATGGAAAAGGCCGACAGCTCGTGCTAAATTTATTAGAGTATTTCCAGGAAGAGAATGAAAACAGTGGTCCCCTGTTACCCACTTCATGCGTACTGGAGAGAGTAATAGATGCGCTGAAGATAAGTTTGCGCTCATGCTACGTAGACTCGATCTGTTTACATATTTCATATAGCGTTGATGACGTAACCGCCAAAAACGTACTACAACTATAATTCCATGGATTTCTTGTCTCAAATACACTTTTTCTTATTTATTCTGGAAATTACATATGCAAATTTACTTAATTTCAAAAATGAGAGAAATGAGAAAAAAATCACTGGTTGGTGAAATAACACATGAGAAAATATGCTACAGGCAGGAATATTTATGAAAGTGAAAAGGTAATTACGTTATTTTTTATTTCCAGTCTTTTGAATTTTATAGAAATTTATTTTGCGATGTCAATAGAAAATACAAGTGAGATGCGTCATTCCCAGTTTATGGCTTAATTGCATACAACGCGGGCGCGGTGACGATTTCCCATAATGCTCCTCAAAGTTTTTGAAAACAGAAAAAGACGGGAAGAATCATCTTCAGAAGGGACAACATATAAATAGCAACATACAAATACCTCCGTCGGTACAGTTAATACTGTTAATAGATATACTTCATTGGCAGCATATTCAGTAATAATTTCCTCACCTAGCAAATACCACAGATTTTATACACATAATCATCCTGATTGCTACTCAACCAACTTTCTTTCTTTAATATCTTCTCAGAGATAAGCACTACAGACTACTTGTCATCACAAACCATATACTTCTGCAATCAAAAGTGCGTGTAGTTCAGTCATTCCTCCATAGATAGACGCTCACAGAGGTCATAGTGAGCCAACGTGGAATGAACTATTTGCAACCTAATAACTACCTAGTCTGCAAGATGACATTTCGTTGGTTTTTTTCAGACGTTAATGTCTTTTAAGTTTTGCATATGGAAATAAAACAACACGGTAGGTAGTTTTAAATGACTTTATTGTTTTTCGAAGTATTCTCCACGAAGATTAATACGCATCTGCATGCGCTCGAACCAATTTTCAAGCACTTATTCCACTCGTTTGCTGGCAGATCCAAAACGGCATTTTTGAATGCGTCAACTGCTTCTTCTGGTGACTGGAACCTTTGACCACACAGTCTGTTTTTAATTTTCGGGACTATATGAAGGATGGTCTAATAATTCCTCGTTTTCTTCCGTTAAATAATACCTTGTTTTTTGGGCTGTGTGCGAGCTTGCATTATCTTGGTGGAGGATGATTCTTCTTTCGGGGTTGATTTTTCGAAGCTCGGTAATGACTTTTGGCAAACAAATGGTGGTACACCAATCCGCAGTAACAGTTCTTTGCTCATTAAGAGGAGTTTTTGCAATATGACCCGCTTTTGACAGAAATGTCGCGACCATCTTTTTCGAAACACTTCGAGAACGGATGACTTTTGTTGGCTTTTCTTCACCTTGGAACACCCAAACAGCCGACTGTCCTTTATCTTCTGCTTCATAACAGTAAATCCACGATTCATCACCACTAACAATGCTGTACACATTTTTTGAGTTTCCGCAATTGAAACTGTCAAGCGTTTTTTGACACCAATTAACCATGGCTGCTTTCTGCTCTTCAGTCAACAGGTGGGGAATCCAACGAGAAATTAATTTTCTTACTCCTAATTTTTCATGTAATTTTTTTGAATTGAGGTCTTTGAGATCTTCAAGGACGTCACATGTCTATCTTCAATGATGAGTTTCCGCACAGCATCGACGTTTGCCTGGGTGACTGCCGTTTTTGGTGCACCCACCCTGGGATCGTCGCTAAGACTCACCCGTCGAAGTTTGAATTCTTCATACTAACGGGAAATTATCGACTGATGTGGCGCTTCGTTGCCGAAAACAGACAGTAACTCAGCAAGGCATTCTTGTTGCGATAATTGTCTCTGAAAGTTGTAATAAATTATGGCGCGAAAATTTTCTCGGTTGAGTTCCATTTTTCTAATGACTTTGTGACACTTAAAAATTCACTGTAGTGAGAAAACTGCACGTATTGTTGTGAAACTTTTAATTTAAGTTTACTAAAGAGTGAGGTTAAGATTCAGTACTGACGTTCGATCCGCGCGGCCTACTATGTTTCTATATTCAAAACTTAAAAGACATCCCTCGTAGCTGTGCAGCACGTCCAAACGTTCTTATTCCTAATTAGTCTCCGAATCACACCAAAATGATGAGGCTCAGACTAACACTACAGTAGTTCCAGTACAGATTACGAGTGTCGTCTGGACTATTATAGTCCAGTTGATTTCATCTAGAATAGCTTGTACTGTGAACGCATAGGCAACTTTCAATGCGACAATTTGAATACTGGGCGGTGTCAATTTCTTCTCGCACCATACACCATTGATTTTTGAAGCGCGGCAACAATTATTGAACTTGGATTCTATGGACGTAGTAGTGGAAACCAAGCACTAGCATTCTACAGGGTGTCCCGAAAAAAATTCGCAATATTCTACCAGCGGTTTCTAAAGCTTAAACTAGGAAGAAAAGTTTATATAAACATAGGTCGACAAACGTCCCCTAAGAGCGCTATTGTCTTTTAAAGGGCTCCCCTGAAGATGGTTCTTCCTTAATATTTCCTAAATGAGTTGAGATAAAGACATAAAATTTGGTACTCTAAACTAGTTTTTTATACTAGATTTAAAAATATTAACAATTTTAAACAGTTTTGTTTGGAAGTGTATGTAACAGGGACGGACTCGGGTTATTTTAGGCCCAAAATTTTTGTGTGATTCTATTTTTGAAATTCAATTTGAGAATTTGACAATTTAGGGTTTTCTACATAAAAAATGGACTCTTATTGAATATCGATAAATTGTGCCATTTTTGAATATAATCAAACTAAAGAGTTTGTCACATGATATGAAATGTACTGCGAATTTAAATGAATTGTTGAATAATTAGTCATGGTAACGAAAAAACTAATTTAATAATTGGTAAATATTACATAAATACATATCTCTATTGCAACATAGCTAACAGTTAGGCAAAAACAAAAGAAAGAATTTTTTTCTACGAACGAAATTGAAATTTGTTTAAAAAAGAAGAGATTCAGTTGGATATACTTAAAACTAGCTTTACAATAAGAGTTCAAATAAATTCCCATTTTGTTGAATACAGAGTCTCGCTCGACTAACTAATGATTGCGTAGCCCGAAAAGTGGAAAACCTTTTTCTTGTTATTTCATTTGCAGCCTGATGGATTCTTTAAAGTAAGCCTTCTTGAGTACTTACTTCAGTCGAGTAAACTAAGTCTTTTAATGATCCCCAAAAATAGAAATGTCTGGAAAATTGACATTCAACCAATTTCGAACATTGCGTCCAAAATGTGCAGGGGCGCCATCATGTTGAAAAAACATATTTTCTTGAAACTGCTGGCGCACATCCAATGGTATTATATCCATTAGCTCAGACTGAAGAAAGTTCAGATACACCTCTGAATTAAGATGATTGGGAAGTACAATTACTTGATCCCCAATTACTCCTGCCCAAGTTCAATGAAAAGCTATGTTGGAAATTTGTACGGCGAACAACTTTTGGATTTTCATCTGACCAGTGATGCATGTTATGGAAATTAAAAGCACCATTCTTAGTAAATATTGACTCATCCGACCATAATATTTTAGGAATAGTGTTTTCATTTGCTAATATCCAATGGCAAAACTCGATTCGTGGTAAAAATCTGCCTCCGTTACATGCTGTACCCATTTAAAATGATAAGGATGTAATCCTTGCATTCTTGTCATTCTTCCTATCTAAAATTATTATTTTTAGGATAACTATCAAATAGGTATTCATAATTTTTTCTTACTATTGATCGAGGTATATCTATAATTTCTGAAACATTTCGCATGCTTATTTGCGGATTATTTTCAAACTTATTTAAAGCAATATCCATACGATGATTTTCCAGTGGCCTTCCTGAGCCCTGCATGCGCTGAAAACTTCCATGGTTTGACAAATTCCGGTGAATATCAGTAAACTTTCGACGTCCGGGTACTATGCCATTGGGAAATCTTCTTTGAAAAACCCTTACACAAAATGCATGTCAGTCAGTTCTCTGTCTGTAAATCTTGGCATTTTAAATCGATTTAATAAAAATTTTGATTTAAATCTAGTAATTTTACACTGCTAACAATGTCAGCTAAACGTCAAAATAAGTCATAACAAATCAAAACAACTTTTGCTTGCAGTCATGGCTAACTATGTATAATCAACAATTCATTTAAATTCGCAGTACATTTCCTATCATGTGACAAATTTTTTAGTTTGATTTTATTCAAAAATGGCACAATTTATCGATATTCAATAAGAGAACCTTTTTTATGTAGAATACCCCAACTTTTCAAATTCTAAAATTAAATTTCAAAAATAGAATCACACAAAAATTTTGGGCTAAAATAACCTGAGTTCGGCCCTGTTACAAACAAAACTGTCTAAAGTTGATAATATTTTTAAATCCAGCATAAAAAACTAGGCTAGAATACCAAATTTTATGTCTTTATCTCAACACGTTTCGGAAATATTAAGGAAAAACCGTCTTCAGGGGAGCCGTTTTAAAAGACCGTAGCGCCCTTTAGGGGACGTTTGTCGACCTATGCTTATATAAACTTTTCTTCCTATTTTAAGCTCTAGAAACCGCTGGTAGAATATTGCGCACTTTTTTCGGGATATATTCAACGAAACATTAATTGTGGAGGATATTTTAATATTTTTCATCCAATAGAGAAGTAATTAAGTTATTTTTTCGTTTAGAATAGGTAACTAATTGTTTGGAATTAATGTCGTCAATCGAGCTCATATTTAAGGAATCGGTTATTTATGTACCGTATATAAGTGTGAACATTTTTATTGCGTCATTTTGATTTGATCAAACTTTAGTATACCTACCCAGTGTAACTCGCATTATCAAGACAAATCTAAAGACACATATGTCAAAAACCAACCGTTTAAGCTGTAGAGAATTTAGCTGGGGGAATTCTAAATTTGAAATTTTCGATTTAAATCCGCCATTTTGGTTTTATAAAATGTTAATATCTCCATTGTTACTCTTGCTGTCAAGACAAATCTTGAGACATCTCATATGTCAAAATCCAAAGAGTCGTTTATGTTATGCAGTAGCTCAGGGTTTCCCGACCTTTTTTTTGTTGAGGCTCCCCGGACTATAAATTATATTTTCATGCACCTCTTTACTTTTTCAATAAATACAAAAAACGCACATTATACAGGTACAAAGACTTTTATTTTAATTCTAATAAAGAAACTTTAACAGTTCAAATAAACTAATAAATGTTTTTTATCGAAAAACTTGAATAAAATAAGAGTAGGTACTAATGAGACACTTGAGATTGCATGTTCTGTACCAGTTGGTTGATTCTAGGTTCTGTTTTTGCCAGAGCTATCATCAAACTAGAGCAGAATAGCCTGTCTCACATAAGTAAGTTGAAGAAAAAGGAACTAGTATTCGTAAAGCAAGAGAGGCAAGTGTCGAATTAACAGGCAATATTTTGATCCAAAATTTCTCCAATGCTAAAAGATGGAAGACACCCTTGATGGACGAATCAGCCTTCATTTCTAGAAATTCTTCCTGAACTTCTTCTGGTAATTGTGACATATCAACAACAAATGGATTTCTTGTCATGTGCCATATTGGTGACTCTGAATTCATGTCTCCATAGTATCGGCGAAATTCGTCTTCCAGCGCTTGCAAATGATATAACATTTTCAGAAGACACTTTTTCATTCCAAAGTTGAAACTTTGATATGAACCCCTGAATGTAATCATAATTGCTTATTATGCTTATTATAGTGTTGTTTCTGCCCTAAAGTTTCAAGTTTAGCTCATTCAAGGAGTCAAATGTGTCAGTTTAATAAGCCAACCTCTATTGAAATGCGTCATCTTTGAACATTGTCAAGAAGTCGTGTTTTTCTTTGAACTCAAGAAAAAGAATTATCTCTTCTTTCAATTCATAAAGGCGAGTCAACATGTTGCCTTTGGACAGCCAGCGTACTTCTGAATGGAACAGAAGAACTTTGTGATCAGAATCGAGATCCTCGCAAAGTAAAGTAAATAACCGACTGTTCGAAGCGCTGCTCTTGATGGAGTTTACAATCCTTATAGCCGAGTCCAACGTCTGGCGTGATTTCTGTGGCAATTTTTTGGAAGCCAAAGCTTGCAGATGAATAACACAAGGTGTACTAAGAATTGCGGAATTTTTTTCCTTGAGCTTTTTAGCTAAGCCCGATCGTACACCTATCATTGCAGGTGCGCCATCTGTGCAAAGTAAAATGAGTTTCTCCTAATCCAAATCATTTTTTTTTCAACAAAATTTGATATTGAATTAAATATATCTTCAGATGTAGTACATGCTGTCAAAGATTGGGAGTACAAAATCTCTTCTTGAATGACATCTCGGCCGATGTAACGAACGTAAACTTTTAACTGTGCACAATTAACGATGTCGGTGGATTCCTCGCAACGAATGGCGATAATTTTACTTTCTTAATTATTTGTGTCTGCCGCAATGTCATCGATTCTACTCTTGGCTGTGTTATTCGAAAGAGAAATAGACTTCTTTTATTGCTCTGCATCTTCTCTTAAAATTATCTGCGTGGCTTTCAGGACTCATGGTTTCATTAATTCTTCACCGATAGTACGAGGTTTATTTTGCTTTGCTATCACAAAAGCCATTTCAACTGAAACTTTGAGATGCTGTGATACACGTGTGTGATAACTTCCCGATTTGTCCAGTCTCATCCACTTGAGTGATTCTGCTTTACAAAAAAAAACTTCTTCAAAACCAAAGTAGGATGTTGTTGCTTCAAATGCCTTTCAAGGCGATTGGGCCTCTTGCTAACATTACCTAAAACTTTCATACATATCACACACTGAGGCAATTCTAACTCGTCTTTTTCTATGAAGATACATCCAAACTTAACGTAATCTTCGGAAAACTTTCTTTTTTTCGCTGCCATTTTGCACCTATAACAATAAAACAAATAAGTAATAAATAAATAAGGAAAATACCTACATGTAATTACTAATTATATGCCCATTATTTTATCTTAATAACGTAATGGATTCAACAGTATATTGGCCACTGGGAGATTTATATTTTTCTAGGCAGGTTGACTTATAATAGTAATTTTAAATACATTTGAAATCAATATTAGGTACTTAAAGTTCGTCGTTTCAAAATGATTTCGCCACGTTGGTTTGATTGTGATGTGGTAAAAAAGTCCCAATGGCCGATCTATGAACGCGTCTCCACTCAATCAACAATTTAGTACATTAAATAAAAATTGTAACTGAAGTTTGTAAATACACAAACTCACCTTTTAACAATGAGACACATTAATTTGAAACACTCAAACAGACTACTCAACAAAACATGTACCTCGACATGTCAAATTTTTCGCAAGTTTGTGGGATTGAATGTCACAGATTCTCATCCGCGTCTGGTAGGTACACGATAGTTTTCTAAGTGATCAATGTTAAGCGGAGCGCGGCGGGGGTGCGCGCGGGTTTCATGTTGTGACTTGTCGAAACTTGTATAAACTGCGATTGACAACGCCGGGTAAATTAAACATTATATTGTAATGTTATTTGTTGTTGTTTGTTTATTTTTTGTTTCTTTTTTTTCTAAAATGCAAACGCTTTCCGCCCCCCTTGACATCTCTCTATGCCCCCCTGGTTAGGAACTCCTGCTGTAGCTAGTGAAATGGGAATTTCAAGGCTGACTTTTTTAATAATATCCGCCATTTTGTCTTAATAAAATTATAATATAGCCAGTATCACTGAAACTGCTAAAATAAAGCCAACAGCACCTCAAATGTCAAAATCCATCAAGCCGTTTGTCCTGTAGACATTTTCTATGGAAAATAATAAATTAATGAAGACCACATAAATTATACAAACATAGACCAATAATTTACAACGCTTTGTCTGATACGGCAACCTATTCGTAGCTCATTTGGAAGGTCCTCGGATGATTTCTTGCATCAGAATCGATCAAAAATCTCCAGCAGATTTTTTATATGATCTATAAATCGTAGTCAAATGCTAATCCATAAAGGAGATTAATTATTACGCAGATTATTATATTCAGACATTACAATCACTATCTGCCGCTCTTGAATTTTTCAAGGTAGGTATTCGACCATGTGAAAGAATTAATGGAGAAAAAATGTTCTAGATAATTCCATTCATAAATAATGATTGTACTACATAATTGATTTTTTATTAATTGCAGCACACTTGTTTCCCACAGTAAAAACAAAGCAAAAAATTGAGAGAAAAAGGCAGTGTGCACATTTCCAAAACTTTCAATTAAACTTCAAAGATTTTAGAAATAAGAATTGTCTAACACGTATCCATGTGAATTGCGTAGAGTTTGGATCGTACATATGTTTTATTTAGAACTAATGAGATTTAAGATTTTGAAGCACATTCCAAAATACAAAATTATAAGCTCACTAAAAATCGTTTTGATTACTCTCTATATGAACTTCAAATGTATTAATTCTTGTTCAAAATGCCTCTCAAAAAAGCATATGCAAACTCAAAAGTTTTTCAAAACTTATTCTATAGGTACTTAGAACATCCGGTGCCATAGTTGCATCATCCACTATAACTTCAATGCAACAAAATTGCTTTTAACCAAGTAGCACTGGACACGGGCGCCCGTAAAGGGGTGCCAGGAGGATGCGTGACTCCTCCCACCCTAAGAATGAGGTTGGACCTTCAATTTTGCATATGTATCATGATTTTGTGTACAATTTTGGATATTTTTAGAATGTGCCTCCTTCTCTGAGAAAATTTGCTAACCCCCGCTCTTCAAAAAGTTTTAGGGCAGGTACATCTTCACAAAAGGTCTCTTGCTGATTATTGGCCCTCCCTGAGAAAAATTTCTGCGGGCGCCCATGCCACCGATTCAGTTTTTAAAAAACTATATCCTATTCTTGCTCCGTTAGAGTTTTCTGTAGACTGTAGAGTGTGTATGATCCTGACGCAATGTCAATAGTAAATCACAAGAATTTTACACTAATTATCGAGTTACAGAAGAAGTTAGTGTTTGCAGTCTGTTAGCAGGAAATTGGTAAGAAATAACGGAAAAATCTCGATCGCAGCAAGAAAAATTTAATAAAATAGCTGGTTTTTCTTAGAATATATTGTTATCTAAGAAAGTTACGAGACATGCTTCTTGGTAATTTGGGATTTCACGTCTATCAGCTAATTAACAATTTTCTACTAATTTCTCTCATGGCTTGATGGACTGGATTAGCAGAAAGAAGCGCATGGTGCCATAGGCGGATCATACGAAGGTTTGTCATAAACTTTACGTATATTATATTCTAATTCTGTACAGCAAGTCTTACTATCGCATGCATTATTAATGGTAATGCAGCTATTTTGAATGTTTAAATCCGTGTATTGAACATTCCAGATGTTAGGTAGTCGGGTCGCGAGGAATGAAATCTTGTATCGCTAAAAATCGTGTCAACGATTTTACAAAAAACAACAGACACAAATTTCGAAACAAAAACAGTTATCCAATCCCATGAAAATTACGTTTTACTTTTTTGATGGTGATATTAGGTATGAAGTCAAATAATGCCTTTGATGCCAATTTTCTTTTCCAGCTGAATATAATATATCATATTTGGAAAAAATGGCGTCAGGTAGTTTGACACTAAACTTCCTACGCAACGGCGTTATCAGTTCATAAAGGACTAAGTTCGACACAAGTTAAACACTCCAAGAAAAAAATTAGTTACGAACGTGTACAATAGAAAAATTAAACGGATCAAATCAGTCAAACATACCCATACTATTAGTCCATAGTCATGCTTTCCCCGCCCTACCAGCAGTTATCGTCCGTCTGGCAACGTTGCCCCTTCTAAGATCTTCAGACGCGGCAGCACCGCTGAAGAACGAGCAGAATAATCAAGCAGACCGTTACGCCGGGCGTTGAGCTCAGATAGGAGACGCTACATAAAACACTTATCACATAAAACACTTATCTCATTCGAGGTTTTAAAGACAAATGTAATTAATAGTTGCGTCAGAATTCCTATATGCTCTGCTGGAGTAAGCCCTCCAAGGGGCCTTGAGTATGCATCAGGAAGTCATGCCTGTCTGTCTCAATGTCTGTTGTAGATGATGATGGACTGTGAGATGATGATGGAGTGATTCTGTTTACAATATGTCACGACTGTGAAGTGGGGGCAAGTTTGCTCTGGTTTGAGCAGCCTCGCTGGTATGGACGCTCATTTATAACACAAAAAAATAATATATATATATATATATATATTATTTGACTAGGGCGAGGTACTCCTTGTAGGTGAGATTGTCTCTACAGTGACGGATTTGATGCTTGGTCAGTCCTGTTACCGCCACCATATCTTGTAAGAAGTACTTCTGGTCAGGAAGCGGATTGGCTTCGATTCGGGAAATCCTAATGAAAACTTCTGCTTCCGAATGCGGCGCAGTTTCTACCAACTCCCTGTTGCACTCGATGGGTGTGCGCAAAGCTACATACCAAGAAAGCCAATTACTTGAATTGCCTGTCTCAAAAGCTGCACTCATGCCCAGCCGTCATGTCTGAGGTCACTTATGGATGTTTGGAGGGAAGGACTGGGTGTATGTACTGTGATGATTTTGTAGGCCTTTCATGGTAGTGAACTGCCGACCATGAGAACAGTTGTTGGTCGGCCGGCCTGGTCTGCTCCGGGGTGATGTAGTTGGGAATGACGAACTCCCAGAATGAGACTTTGGGTCATTGACCTCACTGGTTAACCTCTGTATCACACCGCGTGTACTAACCTGCGATGGACGATCCGCCGAGTTGATGGAGTTGGCGGACTGGCTATCCATATCTATCGATGAAAAGGTATACGGCCTGAAGGGTAATTAAATTGGGGAGAAAGGGGGCAAGCAATTGCATACCTGCCCGGGAGTTGCAATGTCTAAAGAGGAATACGCTCCTCAGCCATGGGAGTTGAGGTAGGGAGTTGTACCTCTTTCAACGTGGAAAGATTGGCCCATCACCCATTACGGAGTTGCTGAATCACCTCGAGTAAAATGTGAAAGTTGCTCATCAGGAACCAATGAGTTAGGATGATCTGCTAGGAGCAGATGCTAGGGATGTTCTAGTCTTCGACGACACCGTAAGTTCACAGATCGAAAAAGTGCAACACCAGGATTTCTGTAGTGAAAAATCCGGAAAAACTGCAGTAGGAGCTCGTGGAGCCTTAAAGAGCCACAATTGATGCAAAATTAATGAATTGAACAGCGAAAACTACGGGAGTTGAGCTTAAGAGAAATAAGCTATTTTTGAAGTTCTATGAGCTTGTTTGTGCCAGAAAAACGTGGTTTACTGAAATTTTGGAGTTGGACGTATACCTCTAACAAAACTCCTGTACTCACCCAGTATGACGGAATAGCTCTAATCTGCACCATACACTAGAAGCAAATACTACTAGATTACCCCGATATAATGTACAAATGCAAGTCCCTTCGTATACTGGATAGCCGCGCCATAGCAATGTTAGGAACAATCTCCCATAAAGAACAACACAGACATAAACTTGTTCCGTAAGAATGTCGGGGTTGCAAGTGTATTAATATACTAACATCAAAAAATTTAAAAAAAAGGTTTTTTCGTAATTATCTTAAACATCGCTTACCTCATTTTGTTGTAATTTGGCGGTGGTATTTATAACATTAGGGAGCTAATTTGGCCCTAACTTGACTAAATTTATTAAGTCCAGTGGCGTCTTGAGCAGGATCTGAACGAATATTTGTGACAAAAAAAATATACAACACTGACTTTTGTGCAATTTGCATTATGTTCTGTTGATTAGGCAAATAGGAATACCACTTTTTTGTCTCCTGGATTTTTTTGTTATCTTGCTTAGATTTTGAGAAAAAAAACGTTCATTTTATTGCACATCCTTGGTGGTCCACAAGTATACCTAATATGGGGAAACCTTTCTTTTGGAATTCATATTTTTTTATAATCTTTTATTACTAATCATGTAACAAAAGCAACGAATACTAAATAACAATAACATCTAGACTAACAAATTTCACTAAATTAAGCGTTGGAAATGGCCCACTTCGGCTTCAATACAACCGTCTAGCCGCCTCACCATTGAATTAAGCGCTCTCCTGAAAATGCCTAGTTAGTTTAGATGTTACTGTAGTTTAATTTAGTGTTTATTTGTTGTTGTTACATAATTTGTAATGAAAAATTATAAAAAATAGTAATTTCCCCATATTCCTTGTGTGGTCCAGGGACATACAATTAAGTGGACTTTTTCTGTGTAAGACTAAACAAGATACAAAAAAATGCAAAAGACAAAAAGGCTGTACTTCTATTTGCTTCACACCCTGTCTCTTGAGAACGAAGTCTGCGAACCTATGTTTATATGAACATTTTGTCTTAAAATTACTCAAACAATCGTCTGTTGAATTTATGGTACATACTTAATCAACACCTTGTATAAGTTACCGGCAATCTGTATAAGCCGGTATTCTGTACAATACCTAGGTAATGTATGGAATACCTCAAACGTGTAGGTAATGTATGAAATATTATTTGTTTTATACTTTTCTAAGGTATTCTATACAATACCGAATGCCCAGCCGGTAAGGTAAGCAAAAGACGAAACCAAGGAACGGGTTTTGCTCAAGGGGACGGGGTCGCTTCCAGCAATATCAGCTGCAAAACAGCTACAAGGCAGCTACAAAACAAAACTGGAGGAGTTGGAATGGTGGTTCTCCGCAATGCCTTCCCACGCTAAAGGTTGAAATCCCATGAGAAAATGGACAGAGTAGCACCCAAACCAAAACAACTAAGCGTAAGGTCCATAAACTGGTGTTTGGGGGTCTAATATCCAAGAATCAGGAAGTGACGCCCACACCACAATCTCCGCAGAAAAGTAAAAAAAAATGTTAATTTTGATAAAGTTGATTTTAAATAATATAACTTGTTTCATTTGCCCGTCAGTTTATAGGTATGCCGATTAACGTTGATAAATTTAGACCAAGACCTATGTATTTCACACATTGCCGGTGGAACAGCTGGTACTCTATACAATCCGTAGGAATTGTATTCAATACCTAGATAAAGTATGTAATTTATAATAATATGCATAATATCCCATACATTGTCTGGCCAAGCCAGGTATTCAATACATTGCCTAGGTTTTGTATAGAATACCTGAATTGTACAGATTACCGGTAGGTAACATATATAATTAAAATCAATATGACGAAAATCACAGATTTATCATCTTCTGAGGCAATTATTTAAAAAGCTTGACGGTTGATATTTTTCAATTTTTGATTAATATACTATAATGAACTCCAAGCCTCATAAGATCGATATTTAGTCGTGTTTATAAACGTTGCTATGAAAATTGTTACAAAGTGGGAGAAAGCAAGTTTCTATCTCTGAAAAAATCGTGTAAATGTGTGAATGTTATAGGGGTTTTCAAGGGAAGAAAACTCGATTTTATTGAAGCTTCTCAGGATTTGTATAGAGCCCAAACATCAGAGCTAGGAAAGGTTTTCATTGAGGAGGCTCAATGTCTCATTTCAAAACTGCGCAATTATCATCGTACTACTTGAAGTTTCCGATAACTATTCTACGGGCAGAACCGTAGCTTTCAGCAGATACACTTTGGTCAACGCTGTTGCAGAAGAACGGAACATTAACATATTGACCTAGTTGGCCGAAATACAAAACAAAGCGACGAGCCCACCTAGCTGTGAATGAAATTGGACACGAAAGTAAAAACGCTCGATTCAATTGCTTGGAAGGTGTTCGCTTTACATATTTCACACAACAACTAGCGTTCATCGTCCATGTCAGTTCACTTTCCCAGAAAAGTGTAACCTTGTAACATGTCATCCCGTTATAGTGACAGGAAATGTAAAATTGTTGATGATTGTAGGTGTCTCCTCGTTCGTAACCAAAACAATGTTTTCATAATTACATATTGTGATACATGCATCATAGTCTCGATTGCTCAGGGCGTATTTTAACAGGGCATTTTTCAGGTTACGGCAATACCTATATTTGGTCATAATTCATAGAAATGGCTGAAAAGTTTTATATGATGTAGACATCGTGCCACACAGCGAATACCATAGTGGACAATTTGCATGAGCCAGTTGAAAGTAGGGTTAGTGCTATTTGACCTCCACCGATTCTTTTCTTGTGGAATTTCTTGTGGGTTTTTCTTTGCTGATATGCTGCAATCCACCGATGGAAAGCTCTCCAAAGTCATCATAACACAGGTGATCTCGTACTATACCCAAGGATGATGGTACAAGATGAACATGTGTATTTACAGAGGGCTATTATGCAAACAATATAATAATTGACACGCTCTGAGTTGGTAGATTACCCACCGTATTAAGGAGTCCTGGATGCCAGAATCTTCAACATTCACGAGAAAAGAATACCAGAGGGATTAGGCCTTTGCAAATTGGACAGTTTCGGTTCGTCCCACTGCACTGTGCAGGCAAGTTATATAATATTTCATACATGTTTCAATACATAAATCTTACAAATAAAAAGTGCACGCAACTTGTTTCATTCCATTTCAACATCGACCCGTCCTTATTGTTAAAAAGCCTTTATAATTACTACTATGATAAAAGGTTATAGCCTCTACGACAGAGGCCTGGTAAATATGCTCTCACACTTTAGGGAAGAAAAAGCAACACTGTTTTTTTTTGTGGCGAAAATCTGCATGGATATCAAAAAACGAGAATCAAACCAATATGTCATGGCACATTGACTCTTCTTTCACTTGCATTAAGCAAATCTGCACCATTATAGAAACCAAATGCAAATTCTCGTGATTGTTACGGATGACATCCGGTAAAAACTGAACATAATCGTAGTGTAACGGTTGCGACCACAATTACGGTGTTCATTCGCTCATTGTCGGTTGTTAGTAGAGTGCGAAACCATCTCCACCAAAAAGAAAAACAAAGGCGTAAACATATACAAATTAGATATGTGGTTATTAAACAATGTGCAAGCTGTGGATAAGCTTTCTCATAATTATTGTTTACAGTAATATTAACACTCTGAAAATATAAAGGTTCCATTTGGAATTCGCTTAAAGCTTACACACAAAGCTGATTTCATATGTTCTGCCTTCCTTCTGAGGATGGACAGGCTCTGAAAAACCCGGGAGCTTTAAAAGTTCTTTTTCCTTTTGTTACTGCTTGTCATTGAGTCAGTGAGTTGTTCGATGTAACTTTAATCATTTAATACCAAAGTGTGAATCTCTCAATGGAACTATAGGTACAGAACAAATGCTAGCTTAAGAAGTTCTTCCATTTTTATACTTTTTATTTTTGATCTTTTTTTTTGTTTCTTCATAAAACATTATCTATTCTTCTTTTATAGCTACATCGGCATTGCTTATTCTATTACTTTGTGACTTAATCCAAGTATTTACACTCGGCGCACAATCACCGCGCATCCAGCACCTTTACCTTGGCGTGTTTCAGGTGCGAATGTAAGTGGCACTGAAAACACGAACGCGAAGAGCATCCAGCATCAACAGTAAAACAGTGAACAGTGTCCCAGTGTCAGTTTGGACGCGACGTGCGTAAGTTCTGTGTTGCAGCTCTTGCACTTCTCCTTCTATGCCAGATCGATCCACCAGCCCACAAACCCACAGCCACATGACCATCGCAGACAGGGTTTCATAATTGCCACCCTCATTACTCGCAAGGTAAGTGACGTCAAGGGCACAGGTGCTATTTTTGGATAGGGATTGACGCTCGTGTTTCAGGGACTAATACAGGGTGTGTTCTTTTGTGTTTTATTCAGAATTGCTTTAATTATTAAAAAAAAATCGAATCAAGTAAGCTCGCATTTGCATTTCCAAACTGAGCTTATGTACCTAAATCGCGATTTGTTTAAATGTTTTCTGAAATTGTCTGTTGTATGCCATAAACAATAAAAAAGAAGCTTTTAAACCTACAAAAAATTCGTTGAGTACCATTATCGATACTGTCAACTTCAAAAATGGATCTTGCCGATTTTTCAAAATTCTTGTACAACCAAAAAGATTATTATGCATTTAAGTGATCAGAAATACGTGAAGCATCGAAAAACGAGCTTTAAACATTATCAACATGTTGAATCCTAGAAAAAACTGAGTACACGTAAAAATATCAGGATTCAGTCGATCTGAGCTGTTCTGTTCTGTTTCTGTTCAATCATAAAGGAACTATTAATATAACACCATATCACCTTACTGCCTAAACAGCAAAGCCAAAAACTTACAAAAGCAAAGTTGGTCGCACATCTAACATTGTTAGTTTTTTGACAAAGCTCACAGAAGGAAATCACGAAATCCAAAAATGACACAATTTGCAGCGATAAGAGAAAATATGAGTTTTCAAAAATATTCAAGCATGTGAATTTCTTAGTTCTTTTAAAGTTTTTTGATAAAGATAATCAAGACTAGAAAAGCTTACAAAAGGTAACTCTATGCCCAAGAATAACACGATTTATGAAGATATCAGAAAGCTTAGAAGGGCAAAGTTAATAACAGCTCTAAGCGAAGTATGTAAAGCTGAAATTTCGTTCAGCAAATAATGAGTTCAAGATAGGTATCTATTTATTTTACTAAGACCAAAAATAATCGAAAGCTCGAAAATACCGACAAAAATAAAACATGACAGTATCAGAAAATATGAGCTTTTGAAAATATTTTGTCAAAGTTTCAACTACGACCAAAACCCACCCAGGGCCGAAAAGCTTACAAAAGCAAATCGGTAAAACAAAAAAATGGCGCACATTTGAGTAATGACGAAAAATATGAGTTTCTGAAAATGTCCAAGATGGAGCTCAAAAAGGGCAGAGTTATTAGTGCGTTTGAAATGCTGTAAATTGGAAGGTAGATGGTAGACGGTCTCTGACTGTCGAACGCGGAGGTACCACCCGGCGGACCTCGTAGACGGGGCTCATGTACACGTGTTCCCTCGCTAGAGTCCGTGTGGCTGCCTCCCTTTTCCCTGTATCCCTGTATAGCCCCACGATATCCTATGGGTGTTCAGGCCTTAGGCCTTCGTGGCAGTTGGAGTATCAATCTCGGAAACTGTAAAAGATACGTAGTCGCTTAAAGTTGCATGTCTAGGTAACCAACAAAATGCCGCTTAGGAAGTTTCGAAGTTTAAAGTACTTTCGGAGACAGTCGGAAGAGCAGAATTTTCCCGAAATCGTTTTAATTGTTTCCTGTGGGATCTTAAACATTTTTTGCGCATTAACATGTCAATTCTTTCTCCTCTACAAGATGGCATACTTTCAATATGACATCAAAAGGAGTAATGCGAGTGATGTCTTTTAAGTTTTGCATATAGAAACATAGTATACCACTCTTTAGTAAACTTAAATTCAAAGTTTCACAACAATACGTGCAGTGTTCTTTCTCACTACAGTGAATTTTTAAGTGTCACCAAGTCATTAGAAAAATGGAACTCAACCGAGAACATTTTCGCGCCATAATTTATTACAACTTTCAAAGACAATTATCGCAACAAGAATGCGTTGCTGAGTTACTGTCTGTTTTCGGCAACGAAGTGCCATGTCAGTCGACAATTTGCCGTTGGTATGGAGACTTCAAACGTGGACGGGTGAGTCTTAGCGATCCCAGGGTGGGTGCTCCAAAAACGGCAGTCACCCAGGAAAACGTCGATGCTTTGCGCAAACTCATCATTGAAGATAGACATGTGACATATCGCGAGATTGAGGCGTCCTTGAAGATCTCAAAGACCTCAATTCAAAAAATTTTACATGAAGAATTAGGAGTAAGAAAATTAGTTTCTCGTTGGATACCCCACCTGTTGACTGAAGAGCAGAGAGCAGCCAGGGTTAATTGGTGTCAAAAGACGCTTGACCGTTTTAATTCCTGAAACTCAAAAAATTTGTACAGCATTGTTATAGTGGTGATGAATCGTGGATTTACTATTATGAACCAGAAAATAAACGACAGTCGGCTGTTTGGGTGTTCCAAGGTGAAGAAAAGACAACAAAAATCATCCGTTCTCGAAGTGTTTCGAAAAAAGTGGTCGCGACATTTCTGTCAAAAGTGGATCATATTACAACAATTCCTCTTAATGAGCAAAGAATTGTTACTGCGGATTGGTATACCACCATATGTTTGCCAAAAGTAATCAACCCCGAAAGAAGAATCGTCCTCCACCAATACAATGCAAGCTCGCACACAGCCCAAAAAACAAGGCAGTATTTAACGGAAGAAAACGTGGAATTATTGGACCATCCTCCATATAGTCCCGATTTAAGTCATAACGATTAAAAAAATTAAAAACAGACTGCGTGATCAAAGGTTCTAGTTTTCAGAAGAAGTTGACGCATTCAAAAATGTCGTTTTGGATCTGTCAGCAAACGAGTGGCATAAGTGCTTCGAAAATTGGTTCGAGCGCATGCAGATGTGTATCAATCTTAGTGGAGAATACTTCGAAAAACAGTAAAGTAATTTAAAACTATGTACCGTGTTGTTTTATTTCCATATGCAAAACTTAAAAGACATCCCTCGTAACCTCCTATATGAGTCGAATGACTACCTATCTTATAATTTCAAAGCCTGCTCAGGAAATTCTGTTTTTTTAAATAACAAAGGCTTGGCAGCTACATATTATACATTTTCGGAATCAGTATTAAAAACACTATGTACCTATGCAAAAATCCAAGATGGTGTCTTAAAAAAATAAAGTTGATAAAGGAGGACATGAGACGAAACGTCATAGCGAAATTCTAATTATTTCATCTTGTAGAGGAGAAAAAGTTTAAATGGCAATGTGCAAATCAATTTTGAAATCCCGCTTCAAGTAAAGTCAGGAAAAAATTAAAACGAAAATTCGGCTTTTCCGTCTCTCTTCAGAAGTGCTTTGAATTAAGAACCTTTCTAAGCGGCAATTATTTTAGTTACCCAAATAGGCAACTTTGCCCCTATTTAAGTATATAACTTCGTCTTTCTTACCGTTCTTACCGAGAACCCAATGATGAGAGTCGAATTTGGAACTTCCGGTATATCATATAGAACTCATCACACTGAACAAAAAAGTTCTAGAGAATCTATGCATTTCACGGATGCACGCCAGAGATATAGAGTGTTCAAGTTCATATCCACTATAGTCAAATACCAGAATTGATGACAGTAGCAGAAGTCATCGTGCGCCACTGCTTTGACGCTGTACCTTTTGATTACAGCGACGTTTACCGATATTTCACAAAGAAGCGCCGCATTTTCGAAGGCCTCCGCGTAATAGCAGTGGCGTACGATGAGTTTCGCTACTGTTATCAATTTTGGTATTTTACTATAATACTGGTATTTTTTATCTCTTTTAAATTACTTGAGTAATTCAAATGAATCGACGGTAGGCACTATTTCGAATAAAAGCTCCAATGTGCCGTTACTAAGACACTGGGCGTTGTGATTTCTCCGGCACTGATGAGACTGAATGAGGACAAAACATGAATACTATTCAAATAACGCGGTGGTGAAATCGGATCACTCTCCTTATACACTAAAAACAAACTTCTCTGATTTCAGCGTATTACAGAAGGAGGTACACTACTCAAAAAAAAATAAGGGAGCAAGAACAAAATTCGAATTTTTCGGTGATCTTTGGCAGGCTGTATTTCGGTGAAAAATGGCCATATCGAGGCTGTGAAAAAAGTTTTGAAGATCTAGGATGCTAGATTACAGGTTTTTCAGTCAAACAATTTTAGAGGCAACGGTTCTCATGCAATTCTAACAGATATCGCAAGAAAAATGCTTTGCAAAATGTTTGCCTCCTTTTTAGTCCACGGGCTTGAATTTTTTTTCTGTTAGGTCTTCATATGGAGCGGATAACGCGTTTATTCAGCTTCAATATACTGTTTTCAAAATCTTGATACGATCATTTGGCCCAGGTATATCCGATTTTGAATGAAAAAGGATCCCTTTGTCATCGATCACTGATATCTCGGTAACCAGTAATGTAAGGGTATGTAAGAAAACTGTAATTATTTTAAAAAGTCAAAAAAGTCACTTTATGCCTTTTTTTGTAAAATCTACCGCATTTTTGGAACTGCTAATAGAATATTTTTAGGGTTTTTTTATACCCCAATGTATCCCGAATGACCCTGCACGACGGCAGATCCATCCATTGTACGGTTTCTCCGGACCGATTGGTCAAAAATTGAAAGAAAGAAAACATCATGTAATCTGGTTGAAAATGGAAAAATCATTTTTCTTCTTTTGTCACTATTGGATATTCTGTAACACCCTCAGTTAAAAAAAAGCAGTTGGAAGAAATTTAAGCTCTATTCCAGTTTTCGGAAATACCTTTACATTCTCTGTGCGATCACTGGTTACTGATGCCAAAAGGATCCTTTTTCATTCAAAGCCAGATCTTACCTACTGGCCAAATGATCGTAACGAGATTTTAAAAACATAATATTGAAGCTGATTAAACCAGCTATCCGATCCATATGATAGCCTAAGAAACATGTCCAGGACCGTGAACTAAAAAGAAGGCAAAAATTTAGGAAATAAAGAAAAGTCGCACGGATCACTGTGCATAGAACATAATTTTAAATATCTTCCGTAGTGGTCAATTTTTCTCAATTCCCACAAGACTGATGGAAATCTTTGTATGTATCGGCTACGCTGCAAATACTACTAGTATAAAATCTCAGTACAACCCGAAGATATATTTT